TTTCTAATAAAGGAAAAATGTTTAAGTGTTAACTGTAACCCTACTTTTGGCCCACCCTGTATATATATATATATATATATACACACACAAACATGTAATCACAACAGTAGCATTCAGGAAATAATAGTGCCTTGCCAACGGTTTTAACACACAAAGCCAAGGAAACAGTACTAAACAAGGACACTGCGCCACTACTGGGTACAGTATTAACACATCAAACAACAACAACACCAATAAGATATTGGTTTAATATTTGAGATAAACCCAGAACATATGTTTCAACATATAACAAACTAATTTACCTAATATTTCTGATACAAATCACGTTTTTTTTCTTGTTGTTGTTTTTCCACATTCGCCTTGATTTGTCCAATTTGGATTCTAAATCAGAGGCGTGTAACAATAGCATTTCATACCTATCTTCCGTATTCTTTGACTTTTAGCTTGTTTTTAACAAAGTTATACTTGTTACTCAAATTATGATAAGCAGTTTGCATTACCATTCGCTCAACTCACCAAATGATCTAAAGCCTTTTGTAAAGTAGCAACACCCTTCTCACAGCCAACAGCACCAAATACCTTAATATAACCAGCACGTTTTAACAATTTATTTAATATTATTATATCTATGCCATTGTTGTTCTAATACTAAGCCTTGAGATACCCCATCATGACTGAACTCCATTTGAAACAGCTCTCTGCATCCTTGACTGCGGCCATTTTTCGATCCAGCCAGCCAATGTATAACCCCATCCCTAAATATAATTTAAGTTAACACAGATCATATTCTTATTAACATTTACATGTTTATATTTAATTTAGGATACAATAGATAACGTAGTTTACTTAGATCATAAGATTGAGTAATTTAGGAAAACTAGATTAAACCTGCGATTGTTTGTACCGTTTCCATGGTGTAAGTAGTCTACGAGGATTAATATCCTTCAGACCCTTCTTTAAATCCAAACTGGGCATAGTCCAAATTTCAGGTAGGTTAGGCTTTGGATTTATTTAATTTTTTTTTTCCCATCCATCTTAGCTTATTTTAACTTAATATATAGATATTAAGGATTGTTTTATTTAATGGTGCTTAAGCTTAAAACTTAACAGCTATTTATTGTTAATTCATATAATCCAGACTTCACATTTTTTAATAGACCTGGGAAGGTTACTGTGTTAGGCTGTAACGGTCTAAAATGAAAACGCCGCAACAATAAGGGTTCAACAGCAAAAACAAAGTTTATTCACAGTAATAATACTTAGAAATAAATTCAGCATAATTAATAAACAAATGCCTGGCCAGAACTTCACACCAGTATTAATAAACAATTTATCATATATATTAAAAATAAATAATAATACAACCAAGAAAAAGAACCGGAAAGAAAAAAACCAATTCCAAAAAATACAATAACTACAATATTCAAACGATACCTCTCTCTCTAACTGAAAGGTATTAACTTCTATGCTCCTGGTGGCTCATCAGCAAGTCTGAAGGTTTATGCTGCTAAAAATCTAGTTTCAATACCCGCGTTGAGCGCAGCACATACAACCCATTATATAGCTTGTCGATTAGCAACAAATAAACAATAAGGTAACCTAAGAATCACTAGTTTTACGTTACAATTATTTTCAAATTCAGCTGGGCGTATTTTACATCTAGAGTCAGGAATTTAGGCTCATATTCCATTTAGTGCTCTCTAGAAATAAAACTCAGAAATTAATTATTGTGGATCGTAGCTTTTATCCATTGTTATGTTCTGAATATTTTTTTCAGAATTTAAGTATCAAATAAAGATGTATTAGAATACAAAAGTATTTTACGTATTTATGTATGTATTTTACCATTATAAAGCCTGGAGGGGGTAATTCACAAAAAGACATCGAGCTTGATACAGATAAGTATTTTATCTATTTATGTATGTATTTTACCATTATAAAGCCTGGAGGGGGTAATTCACAAAAAAGACATCGAGCTTGATACAGATAAGTATTTTATCTGTATTTTTATTGCATGTAATGTATAACCTATAAGATATACTACTTCACACAATATTTAATGTGTAACATAGCATGTGAATTAAAAAGGCAGGAATTCTGGCTTGGTACATTTCTATAATATTTAAGTCAAAGGATAGATATCACTGAAACTTTGAATTGAGCATTATTACTAGAAGACCTTTAAGAAGTCCTGTCTCCAGTGGCTTAGCGGTAAGTCTAAAGGCTTATAACGCTAAAAAGTGGGTTTCGAAATCCGAGGTGGGCACAGCATTGATAGCCGATTTTGTAGCTTGTTTGATTTTATTCCAAGATTTGTAACAAACTCCTCCAGTACATAAGAGTAGAAGTAAGTGTTAAAATCATCTTATTTTGAACAAGACAGTCGGCACTCAAAGTTGTTCAAAATAAATAATTAACAAATAACAAGTCCCCCGGTCGGTCAGTGGTAAATCCACGGACTTATAATGGTAAAATCTGGTGTTAGATTCTCCATGGTAAACATAGCACAAACAGCCCATTATGTAGCTTTGCGCTAACAAAAACACGTCAACAAATAGTCATAAAATAAATAGAAAAATATTAAATACAAGTAAAAGTGTTTGCTGCCTTTCTGTGGATTGTGGGTCGGGATTACGGATTAAGCCACACTACCTGCACTACGCACTGACAGACGTTACGCGACAAAATTACATTATTGGAAGGAAGAAAACTTGTGCGAAACAGATCTAGTGTTTAAGCCAATCAAACAACTTTAGTTCATTCTTTTATAATGATCTACAAGCCAACGTAAGTGATTTTAGCCTTTTT